CACCCCTCCCCCTCCATTCCTTTGCCCCTAGTTCTGGAAGCAGAAGATAGAATATCTCAGTGCTGTTCCCCTCAGGCCTCGGGACCACCTCCTTGCAGTGGGACTCAGGGTGTATGAGAGGGAGTGAGGGCCAGCTGCCTGTGGGGCCTGACATCGCGTGAGTACATCATTATTGCCAGAGCGAATGGCATTTCTGCTCGCAGACCCGGGGCTTACGGTCCTGAGGGCTAGCTTGCTTGCTTGGTGATGGGGCATGTTGCTGGGAGCCCTGGCTGCTTTAATTTGGGGTGTGGACATCTGCTTTCCCAGGGGAGTACTTCTCCAGTGGGATTTAGAGACGGGCTCTGCCTGAGGAAAAGTTCTATTTGTATATTAAAAAAAAAAATTAGAGAGATATTTCCTCCTACCTGAGGCCTAGCTTGAGTTGAGTGGAAAGATAATTTGGGAGTGTTGTCGTCTGTCTGATTGCTCGGGCTAAAGCAACAAACCAGAAGGGATATTTGTGGATGTATCGGGAGGGATGGTTTTAGCTTGAAAAGCAGAGTTATGGTTGGGACTTAAGAGTATGTAAAATGTTGCTATATAGCATTTACACGGCATCCACAGTCTGGCATAAATACCTGGTATGTGGGATACTGTGTAGATTTGATGGACTGTCAGAGTTGGAGGGAGTCTTAGAGATTGTTCAGTTGATCTGTCTCATTTTACAACATGATAATGGGCAGTGGAGGCCCAGGGGGTGCAGCTAACTTGCCTTGCAGGTACACGGCTAATTAGGTGGGATTAGAACCCAGATCTTCTCACTCTTCATTCATTCCTCCTTCCACTACACTTAAGCTACCCCTTCAGGCAAAGGCAGGGAAGATGCCCATTGTGCAGAGGAGGAAATTGAGACTCAAGAGATGCCAGAGTTGCCCACACTTACTGATCTAATTAGTGAGAAATTGAGAACTAGAACTAAGTTCTCCTGGTTCAGACCTCTTTCTGTCATGTTACCTGGACTCAGACGCCTGACTATATTGTTTTTAAAATTTTACTTTTTTTCCTTCTTTGGTTTCTCCTTACTTTTTTCCGCTTTTGGTCCTATGAACATTGTTTGAATGTGAGCTGCTACTTCCTGATCTGCTTTGCTGCCTGTATCTTTTTTTTTCCTGAAAGGATG